AAAGTAAAATTGTAATCAAATTTGGGACGTGGGGGTATAAAATATTTTGAAATATTATTTTACCTAATTAATACTACCTCCGTTTCTCAAAAGAGTTTCTCTTTTGACTTTAAGGGAAAATAAGGAAGTGTTAAATTGTAGTTGACTTTCCAATTTTGCCCTTGATGTGATGGGTAAAAGTAAGATGTGATAGTTTAGTTGTTAGTGAAAAAGTATGATGTGATAGGTAGGGTATGAAAAAGTAGGGGTAAAAGTGGTTTTTTAATAGAAAGGGGAAGTGTTTTAAGAAAAACAAAAAAAATGAAAGAGGAAGAGTTTTAAGAAACGGAGGGAGTATACAATATACATTTTATTTAATTATTTACCAAAGATTGAAACGATTTAATAAAAAAAAGTTAAAAATGTTGATCCATTCAACATCTTCCTCTTTAGTGCGTGTGAGTGGCTGATGTTGATCCATTCAATCATTAACTATTTTAACGCATCCTTACTTTACGAAAATGCCCCTCTTTGTTGACCTATCCCTATTTGATCGCATATGCTCCTTAGTTACCGCAAAACATATATGTGTAGTTTTCCAAATCATTAAAAAGCTTAGCCGTTCGATGCACTTAATACAAGGGTAAAGATTCATTCTTATTTCTTTCATTGTGAGTCATTCTTACTAGAACCACACCCTATATATATATATATATATATATATATATATATATATATATATATATATATATATATATATATTTTGGTTCAAATAAGAATAAGATCTAATGAAAGAAATAAGAATAAATAAATATATAAATATATATATATATATATATATATATATATATATATATAGAATTTGGTTCAAATAAGAATGAGATCTAATGAAAGAAATAAGAATGAATAATAATCGTCCGATCTTGATCTTGCTGAATACTCCTCCCAATTTCTCGTAAGGGCAATTCAGAAATTTCCAGCCGCCTATCGATAATGCCTCGTCTATTCTCCGTAAAATCAGTCCACAATCTCCGTTCATGTTTTTTACCGTTTTCCATATTCAGGCATGGGAGATTTAATGCTTGCACTCCGTGTTCATTCCAACTTCCAAGAATATCCGAGCATCCATCATCATTCGTATTGACGTTGTCAAAGAACATATCAAATGGATTTTTAATATCAATAAGGTATGTTCAATCTTTATTTTCTGCTGCTCTTTAATTGCTCTTGAGTCTTGAATTGTTTTGAGGTGTGAAAATGAACAAGGTTTTCTTTGAAGAAGATGAAGTTTAGTTTGCACCAAAAGTGTTTGATAAAATACCTGAAAGAACAAGTGATGCATCAAAGGAACCTACTATCAAGCCAAAATTATTTTTATATTTATGTTATAATTTTTTGTTATTTTAAAGCTATTTTTGTAATTAATTATTGATGTTAGAGAAAATCCATATTGAAATAAAACATTCCATGGATTTGTGATAACCCATATATAGATTATACAGAATATATCAAAACCTTTTAAAATTCAAGTTAAATACACCCCCTTAGTAGTGTTTCATGTCTTTGGGTTAGATTAATAAAAAAACTCTTGTGAAGATGCAATATCTTAAAATCTATTTGGGTTCGTGATTTATGTGTGGTTATTGGAGATGTAAAAATATGGCTGAAGATGCAATTTTGTTGTTTCATTACTTTCTGTTGTGGATAACTTTATTAATAAGATGTCATTCTTATAATCTTATAATGCACTCTATGTTGGTGGTAGTGCACACACCCTATAATAGTAATGTAATAGTGCATTCTACAGCCATGTTGGTTATTTTTTATGTTTCTAGCTATTTTGGTAATGATTGAGTTTTTGTTTTGATTTTGTTTTTTATACTCGCTTTGCAAATTCTAAAAATTGGATGTCCTAGTACTTTGTGTTCGTAATTAGAATTTTCACACGTTTGGTTTCACGCATGCTCTCAAATATTTCTTGAGTATATTAAGTGCTTTTCCATCCTTTTATTATGTTGTTTCATTACTTTTTGTTGTGCATATTGTATTCATAAGATGCCATTCTTATAGTCTTGTAATGCACTCTATATTTTTTGTAGTGCACACAACCTATAATAGCCATATTTTGGTACAATATACATTAATCCACCAATATATTTTATCATGGTGGTTGTTAGTTTTTTAATGTTTCTAGTTATTTAGGTAAAAATTGGTTTTTTTGTTTTGATCATATTTTTTTAATGCTCTTGACAAATTACTAGGACCAGATACCCCAATACTTTGTCTTTATAATTTGAATATCACAAGTTTGATTTTGCTCTTGTATTCACTTAATATATCCTTGAATATATTCGGTGGTTGTTAATCCTATGATTTTATTATTTCAATAGTTTTTATTGTGAACTCTTTAATTCCTAAAATGTCATTCTTATAGCCTTGTAATGCACTATGTGCTTTTGGTACTACATACACTCAACAACTCTGTACTGATTTTGTGTTCATGGGTTGACTCTTTCTACAATCCACTCCTTATATATTCATTCATTTTTACTTTATATGGTAGATTCTGTGTAATTGATGTCCTAAAGTAAATGATTTATGTTCAAAAAATATGAACCAACAGAATAGGATTAAATTTTGTGCAGCTGCTAATGTCATCTTGGTTTTTTTCTTGCGTGTTTTTGGTACTTTTAAGAGGATGGCACTCGTTCTTAACAATAAGTAGAACTCTTTTATGTTTAAGATTATGTGTGTTTGTTGATAAATTTGGGAATATGAAGTTTATGACCATCTACCGTTGGTGCAGCAGAATGACATGTTTGATGTGTTAGTGTAAACTTTAATCTCAACTAGATAAGTTTAAACTAAGAGTTGATGCCTCTCTTCTTTTCTTTTTTTACAGTACATTGTGTAATGTTACATACAATAAATAGAAGTATAAAAAATAGTCCATAATCTTTTTGTACTGTACAAGGTTGATGACCACATTGTACTAATTAATAAATGTTTNACCATCTACCGTTGGTGCAGCAGAATGACATGTTTGATGTGTTAGTGTAAACTTTAATCTCAACTAGATAAGTTTAAACTAAGAGTTGATGCCTCTCTTCTTTTCTTTTTTTACAGTACATTGTGTAATGTTACATACAATAAATAGAAGTATAAAAAATAGTCCATAATCTTTTTGTACTGTACAAGGTTGATGACCACATTGTACTAATTAATAAATGTTTGATGCATTTTCTGAAGTAAAAAAACTCTTGCCTATTAGCTTAATGGGTATAGCAGAATGCAATTGCATTCAGATGTGGGTTCGAATCCCACATAGGCAAATATTGTTTTCATTTTACGTTCGATGCATTGACTTTCTAAAAACCTCATATAAAGTTAGAGGCAAAAAAAGTTAAATGTTACATTTTTATCTAGACCGTTATTTACCTAAAACTAAATCAATGTCGAAATGATGTGTTTGGCTCCAATATCATTGAATCATACATGCTTTTCCGAGTTACATCAAGACACAAAAAATGCTTTTTGTGATCTTTTGATTTGCATTTGATCAAAAAGCACTTCAAGTTAAACAAAAGATTGTTTGAGCAACGTAGAGGTAATCTATAGTCCACACTCTATGATTACACCTAATTGTTGCTTTTAAAGATTGCCTATGAGGGATTCGAACCCACATCCATATGCAGGTGCATATCGCTCTACCATTTGAACTAATAGGCAATAAATAGTTTTCTACTCCGTAATAAGTTACAAAAGTAAAAAATATATTTCTTGGTACATTGTGATTGGCCATTATTTGTTAAAAAATTTAAATGCATTGTCAAGATTTAATAAGGAGCACAGTATGATGATGAGACCCATAATTTTTTATAATGCAATTTGACC